CCCTCTTCTGGTTTAGTGTCAAAGATCATCTGTTCAGCACCTGCTGTGGCAAACAGACAGATAAAACCTGGAGAAAGGACACAGTACGCACCCCAAGACATTGTAAACATCGTCTGCAGTGAGGGATTTGATCTGATTGGCTTGCCACAGGTCACATGTGGAAGAGACGGCCAATGGCAAGGCTTGCCTGTGTGCTCGAAAGGTATTTTATGCTGTTTTCACACTTGGTTTGAATGCTTAGTCTGAACCTGATTTCAACTCCACCTCTTCCTCCAATGATGCATTTCAAGAGGTACAAAGAATTAATGCTGCTCTCTGAAAGCAGTTTCTTGAACTAAACTTCTAACTCTACTTCTAACTGCTAATTTAATAAATGTGTTGGATTTTAGCATGGGATAGATGTTGAATTTTGTTTTGAAATGAAAACTGGGTTAATGCCAAAACCCAATGTTGAATTCACTGAAAGTTCTAACACTGGACAGGCGTTGAGTTTTGATTCGAAATGAAAATCGGGTTGATGTCAAAACCCAATGATGGATTTATATCAACTTCAAAAATTAGGTTGAGCTCAAAACTCAACATTTGCTCAATGTCAAATGTCAACATTGGAGAGACGTCGCAAATACAGTTGTCGTCAAAAACGTTGGATTTACTTAAACTTCCACCACTGGACAGACATTGACTTTTGATTCAAAATGAAAATTGGGTTGATGTCAAAACCCAGCGTTGGATTTATATCAGCTTCCACCATTGAACAGATATTGAGTTCTGGTTAGAAATAAAAAAATGGTTAATTTTAAAACTTCCCCCATTGGACAGACATTGATTTTTGGTTGCAAATGAAAATTGGCTTCACATCAAAGCCCAACCTTTACTTGGATAGATGTTGAATTTTGTTTTGAAATGAAAACTGGGTTAATGCCAAAACCCAATGTTGAATTCACTGAAAGTTCTAACACTGGACAGGCGTTGAGTTTTGATTCGAAATGAAAATCGGGTTGATGTCAAAACCCAATGATGGATTTATATCAACTTCAAAAATTAGGTTGAGCTCAAAACTCAACGTTTGCTCAATGTCAAATGTCAACATTGGAGAGACGTCGCATTTTGGTTAGAAAAAAATACAGTTGTCGTCAAAAACGTTGGATTTACTTAAACTTCCACCACTGGACAGACGTTGACTTTTGATTCAAAATGAAAATTGGGTTGATGTCAAAACCCAGCGTTGGATTTATATCAGCTTCCACCATTGAACAGATATTGAGTTCTGGTTAGAAATAAAAAAATGGTTAATTTTAAAACTTCCACCATTGGACAGACATTGATTTTTGGTTGCAAATGAAAATTGGCTTCACATCAAAGCCCAACCTTTACTTGATGTCAACCTCCAACAAAAAAAATGCGGTTGACGTCAAAACTCAACGTTGTATTTACTTAAACTTCCACCATTGTACAGACGTTGACTTTTGGTTTGAAATTAAAATTGGGTTGACATCAAAACCCAACGTCGGATTTATATCATCGTCCATTCCATTGGACAGATGCAATTTAATGATTTTTTTTTAACTGATGATAAAATGGGTGAAAAAGGAGCACCTGTTTTTGAAGGAGTCATATTGTATATTTTTATTATTTATATTCCCCCCTGAGATCCTTATAGTTTGAATGAAAATGTTCTACCCTCTCTATGACCTTTATTTGATCCCTTTTTTTTTTGCTGCTGCTGCTTTTAAAGAAACAACCCATTCGTATGTATATGTATGTGTTCATAGCACACACATTAAGTTCTGTTATCTTAAAACATATCTCTTTAGATGTATTATGTAAAAATTCACTTCAATTCAGTCTTTCTGCTTTTTTCCCCCGCCTTTGCTGATGACCTCAAAAGGTCAGTTTTTGCTCTCAAGAGTTGCTATTCTCAAGACTTGTCGCCCTCCTAATTTGGGAAAAAACTGAACAGTGATAGAGCAGAATTCTAATTACATGCTGAGAGAGTCCATATCTGTCACCTGCAATGAAGGATTCATCTGATCTGGAGTTTTCTGAACCATTGTATCACACAAAAGCTGATCATCTTCAATATTGTGAATATGGAGCCATTTTAACCTGATAATATTAACACCTTCAAAATTTCATCCCGATGAAGAACATGTTCCTAGATAAATTCATGAACCCTCCAAATTGGAACTTTAAAACCTTAAATGTCACATAAAGACACATGCTTAAGATAAGAATGCCTGCATGCATGCATATGAATGCTAATTGTGTTTTTCACTACAAATAAAAGCAATAAGAATATTTTTTACTCCTGTTCATTATCAGTGATGACCTGTTCAGCACCAGCTGTGGCAAACGGGAGGATAAGACCTGGATCTAGGGTGTACAAACCCAAAGACTCTGTAGACATCACCTGTAGTGAGGGCTTTGATCTGATTGGCCCAGCACAGGTCATGTGTGGACCAGACGGCCAATGGCAGGCCTTGCCTGAGTGTCGCCTGAAAAGGATTACAGGTACATTAAAAGTCTGTGTGTTTGTGTATATATATTTTGTTTTTTTGTTTGTAGCTTTTTTAGACAATTTTCTATCCTCTCTATGACCTTTATTTTATCCTTTTTTTTTGCTGCTGCTGCTGCTCCTTTTTTAAGAAGCAACCCGTTCGTAAATGTGAAATGAGCAACAATGCTAAAAAGATTTAGCAATTTACTGTCATTAAATGCTCTTTTTCTATCCTCTCTATGACCTTTATTTTATCCTTTTTTTTTGCTGCTGCTGCTGCTCCTTTTTTAAGAAGTAACCCGTTCGTAAATGTGAAATGAGCAACAATGCTAAAAAGATTTAGCAATTTACTGTCATTAAATGCTCTTTTTGGACTGAGAAGAAAGTTCTTGTATATGTCGCCTGTGTGTTCTTTGTGTTCATAGCACACACATCAAGTTCTGTTATCTTAAAACTATGGATGCACGCTATTGGATTCTTGCCGATATCCGATATGCCGATATTTTCAACTCATTTTGGCCGATACCAATATATTTCCCTTTGTTTGGAAACAACACCATGCCTCTCCTGTGTAGAAATAATAAGCAAATTATTTTTTTTTTTACATTTTGGTTAGTTTTTAACAAACTTATTTGTTAGAATTAAATAAGCAATAATGAAGTTCTTTTATAATGACAATACATGAAAGCTTTGAAAATAACTATAAATAAACTATATATCAATCAATGCATTTTTTTTCTTCAAAAAGATGCAGTAGTAACCTTAACATTTTATTTTAAGATTTAACATTTGTAGATGGTCTAAAGCAAAGAGTTGTAAAAATTCTGATAATCTTTTAGAGCTCATAATTTGTTTAAAAAAGATACCATATTACACATTAATGAATAAATCAGCATATATAAAATCATAAAATTTACAAGTTTCATGTTTGTGATTTAAAAAAAAAAATTATGTAAGCTATAGCTTCTGACCTTTAAATCAAAACATACTCATGATTTTACACAAACAGAAACACAGTCTAAATGTTATTTGTGTATTTTACTTTCATTTTATTAGAAGTAGGCCAACAGTACCCCCTACGGAATTAAAACTCCTTACTGAGCAGGCATTAGGACCCGGGGGAGGCTGCCGCTGCACGTGCTATTACTGTTTACTTTATCACACACGGAACGGAACTTAGGTGCAATTTCAGTTTAAATGCAGCGATCCAAAACAGTGAATCTAATCTTGCTTCAAGAATGAGCCACACTGCTGATGTGATCTAATCGCTAGCACACCCTGAGCACATACGAGTTAACGTATTCCAATTATCGGCAATACATATCGGCATAATTTTTCATATCGGGCCGATGCCGATATGTACATTTAAAGCCATTATCGGCCGATAATATTGTGCATCCCTAATTAACACCTTCAAAATTTCATCCTGATGAAGAAGAACATGTTCCTAAACAAATTCATGAACCCACCAAATTGGAACTTTCAAACCTTGAATGTCACATAAAGACAAATAAACTACAAATAAAAGCAATAAGAATATTTTTTACTCCTGTTCATTATCAGTGATGACATGTTCAGCACCAGCTGTGGCAAACGGGAGGATAAGACCTGGATCTAGGGTGTACAAACCCAAAGACTCTGTAGACATCACCTGTAGTGAGGGCTTTGATCTGATTGGCCCAGCACAGGTCATGTGTGGACCAGACGGCCAATGGCAGGCCTTGCCTGAGTGTCGCCTGAAAAGGATTACAGGTACATTAAAAGTCTGTGTGTGTGTGTGTATGTGTGAGAGAGTGTGTGTGTGTGTGTATGTATATATAGTCTCAGAAATAAATATGGTACTTTGGCATATTGAATACAGCTTGGTTCTCTCGATATCCGATATGCCGATATTTTCAACTCATTTTGGCCGATACCAATATATTTCCCTTTGTTTGGAAACAACACCATGCCTCTCCTGTGTAGAAATAATAAGCAAATTATTTTTTTTTTTACATTTTGGTTAGTTTTTAACAAACTTATTTGGTAGAATTAAATAAGCAATAATGAAGTTCTTTTATAATGACAATACATGAACGCTTTGAAAATAACTATAAATAAACTATATATCAATCAATGCATTTTTTTTCTTCAAAAAGATGCAGTAGTAACCTTAACATTTTATTTTAAGATTTAACATTTGTAGATGGTCTAAAGCAAAGAGTTGTAAAAATTCTGATAATCTTTTAGAGCTCATAATTTGTTTAAAAAAGATACCATATTACACATTAATGAATAAATCAGCATATATAAAATCATAAAATTTACAAGTTTCATGTTTGTGATTTAAAAAAAAATTTCAACTCATTTTGGCCGATACCAATATATTTCCCTTTGTTTGGAAAACCCACCATGCCTCTCCTGTGTAGAAATAATAAGCAAATTATTATTTTTTTTAATTTTGGTTAGTTTTTAACAAACTTATTTGTTAGAATTAAATAAGCAATAATGAAGTTCTTTTATAATGACAATACATGAAAGCTTTGAAAATAACTATAAATAAACTATATATCAATCAATGCATTTTTTTTCTTCAAAAAGATGCAGTAGTAACCTTAACATTTTATTTTAAGATTTAACATTTGTAGATGGTCTAAAGCAAAGAGTTGTAAAAATTCTGATAATCTTTTAGAGCTCATAATTTGTTTAAAAAAGATACCATATTACACATTAATGAATAAATCAGCATATATAAAATCATAAAATTTACAAGTTTCATGTTTGTGATTTAAAAAAAAAAATTATGTAAGCTATAGCTTCTGACCTTTAAATCAAAACATACTCATGATTTTACACAAACAGAAACACAGTCTAAATGTTATTTGTGTATTTTACTTTCATTTTATTAGAAGTAGGCCAACAGTACCCCCTACGGAATTAAAACTCCTTACTGAGCAGGCATTAGGACCCGGGGGAGGCTGCCGCTGCACGTGCTATTACTGTTTACTTTATCACACACGGAACGGAACTTAGGTGCAATTTCAGTTTAAATGCAGCGATCCAAAACAGTGAATCTAATCTTGCTTCAAGAATGAGCCACACTGCTGATGTGATCTAATCGCTAGCACACCCTGAGCACATACGAGTTAACGTATTCCAATTATCGGCAATACATATCGGCATAATTTTTCATATCGGGCCGATGCCGATATGTACATTTAAAGCCATTATCGGCCGATAATATCGTGCATCCCTAATTAACACCTTCAAAATTTCATCCTGATGAAGAAGAACATGTTCCTAAACAAATTCATGAACCCACCAAATTGGAACTTTCAAACCTTGAATGTCACATAAAGACAAATAAACTACAAATAAAAGCAATAAGAATATTTTTTACTCCTGTTCATTATCAGTGATGACATGTTCAGCACCAGCTGTGGCAAACGGGAGGATAAGACCTGGATCTAGGGTGTACAAACCCAAAGACTCTGTAGACATCACCTGTAGTGAGGGCTTTGATCTGATTGGCCCAGCACAGGTCATGTGTGGACCAGACGGCCAATGGCAGGCCTTGCCTGAGTGTCGCCTGAAAAGGATTACAGGTACATTAAAAGTCTGTGTGTGTGTGTGTATGTGTGAGAGAGTGTGTGTGTGTGTGTATGTATATATAGTCTCAGAAATAAATATGGTACTTTGGCATATTGAATACAGCTTGGTTCTCTCACAGATAAATGTGGTCCAGCTCCATCATACCCTCATGCTTTCCCCAGAGACGAGTCCTCCACGCTGAAAGAGTATCCGTCCGGTGCTCGCATTCGCTACAAATGCAGTATAGGATACGGGCGGGTCAGAGGAAGTATCAATATACACTGCCAGAACGGCCAGTGGACAAACCTGCAGCTCCGATGTGAAAGTACGCCAGAAGACTTTTAACTTCATTTGCTCCCACTTTCTATACTGAAGAATCTAAGGATTATTAGTTGCAGAGAGAGCAACCAGACATTTGTGGTGTTTTCTTTAGTTTTCTTTAGTAATCATTTCATTATGTAATGCATTGAATAATATATTAATTTATCACATATGTGACCCTGGACCACAAAACCAGTCATAAGGGTACATTTTTCGAAATTGAGATTTATACATCATCTGAAAGCTGAATAAATAAGCTTTTCTTTGATGTATAGGACAATATTTGGCAGAGATACAACTATTTGAAAATCTGGAATCTGAGGGTGCAAAAAATCTAAATATTGAGAAAATCACCTTTAATGTTGTCTAAATGAAGTTCTTAGCGATGCATGTTACTAATCAAAAATTACGTTTTGATATATTTATGGTTGGAAATGTACAAAATATCTTCATGGAACATGATCTTTACTTAATATCCTAATGATTTTTGGCATAAAAGAAAAATCGATAATTTTGATCTATACAATGCACTGTTGGCTATTGCTACTAAATTTTTGTGGTCTAGAGTCACATATAATTTCATAATTTATTCATTTTTATTATATTACCTAGTTGTATCTGTTATTTGTCTTGCTCTTGCAATGCTTGCACTGCAAAAAACAATTTCTTTCTCAGTATTTTTATCTTGTTTTTCAGTACAAAGAATTCTGGAATCAAGATATATTTACTTGAGAAGCAAAATAACTTAAGATATTAAGTCCTGTTATCTAAAAAAAAGAGATCAAAATTAAGTGACTTTTTGCTTAGAACAAGAAAAATGTATATCTGCAAATGTGGTCAGAAAAATATATTTAATTGAATAAATTTTTTTTCAAGTGTTTTGATGAATTTTTCAGAAAAAATACTTAATCTAAAGTAATATAAATTTTGCTTCTCAAGTAAATGTATCTTGATTTAAGAATGTTTACTGTAGATATCTGTACTGGAAAACAAGACAAGTACTGAGGAAGAAAATCATTTTTGAAGTGTGCTATTGTTTAATCTTATGATTTTGTGGTTTTAAGGGATATTTGTCTTCTAGAGTTAGATAAGAGAGAATGTCTGCTTTTCAAGGTTATTAACATCACAAGATGATGATGTGAAGCAGTCTTTTTATTTTTTATTCAGTAATCTGATAAAATAACACTTGTTGGATTTATGCAGGTCATGGCTTTTCTGATGTGTTGGAAGAATCTAACAATTTGTTTATATCAAAAGGGAAGAAATGTGGATCTGCTGGAGAGATTTTCAATGGCCAGTTCGAGTACACAGGCGTGTCATTTGGAGATTCGGCTACAGCCGTCTGTCAAGAAGGGTGAGATACAGCAGTGCTTATAATACAAGTGCATTCTCACTTCTGTTTTTAGATGTAGAGGAGTTTGTTTCTTCACCAGATTTGGAGAAATCTAGCATTGCATCACTTGCTCTCCAATGAACCCTCTGCAGTGAATGGGTGCCGTCAGAATGAGAGTCCAAACAGCTGATAAAAACATCACAATAATCCACAAGTACTCCACTCCACTCCAGTCCATCAGTTAACATCTTGAGAAGCCAAAAGCTGTGTCTTAATGATGGATTTGTTTCTTACAAACATATAGCTTTTCACTTCACAAGATATTAATTGATGGACTGGAGTTGTTTGGTTTGGGGAACCAAAATGGTTCTTCTGTGGCATCACTGTGAAACCCCTGTTTTTAAAAATGCCAAAAGCCAAGATGCTGGTGTCATGTTATTAGACATCCACTTTTTTTTTTTTTATGGCTACATTAGGTATGAGCTGATCGGCCCAAAAGTGCAGATCTGCAGGGATGGAGGCTGGGACAGAAGGAGCCCTGTGTGTGAACGTAGGACTGTTTTCTGAGATTTTGTTCATGTTTTTGTTAATGTTGTATAGCTTAATTTCCAATATTGCAAACCAAATGCCTATGGATTTAGCTTGCTACTGTACACAGACACTACATCTGTCTCATAGATGGATGATATATGTGTGTTTTGCAGCTGTGCACTGTCCTCCACCTCCAGAGGTCAAGGGCGCTGAGATGTTTGACCCCATATATGACCATGTTCCGTTTGGTCACGTGTTGTCCTATCACTGCCGTACTGGAGCTCTGATCGGTGAGAGAGATATTTTCAATCAATGCATTTTTTTTCTTCAAAAAGATGCAGTAGTAACCTTAACATTTTATTTTAAGATTTAACATTTGTAGATGGTCTAAAGCAAAGATTTGTAAAAATTCTGATAATCTTTTAGAGCTCATAATTTGTTTAAAAAATATACCATATTACACATTAATGAATAAATCAGCATATATAAAATCATTAAATTTACAAGTTTCATGTTTGTGATTTAAAAAAAAAAATTATGTAAGCTATAGCTTCTGACCTTTAAATCAAAACATACTCATGATTTTACACAAACAGAAACACAGTCTAAATGTTATTTGTGTATTTTACTTTCATTTTATTAGAAGTAGGCCAACAGTACCCCCTACGGAATTAAAACTCCTTACTGAGCAGGCATTAGGACCCGGGGGAGGCTGCCGCTGCACGTGCTATTACTGTTTACTTTATCACACACGGAACGGAACTTAGGTGCAATTTCAGTTTAAATGCAGCGATCCAAAACAGTGAATCTAATCTTGCTTCAAGAATGAGCCACACTGCTGATGTGATCTAATCGCTAGCACACCCTGAGCACATACGAGTTAACGTATTCCAATTATCGGCAATACATATCGGCATAATTTTTCATATCGGGCCGATGCTGATATGTACATTTAAAGCCATTATCGGCCGATAATATTGTGCATCCCTAATTAACACCTTCAAAATTTCATCCTGATGAAGAAGAACATGTTCCTAAACAAATTCATGAACCCACCAAATTGGAACTTTCAAACCTTGAATGTCACATAAAGACAAATAAACTACAAATAAAAGCAATAAGAATATTTTTTACTCCTGTTCATTATCAGTGATGACATGTTCAGCACCAGCTGTGGCAAACGGGAGGATAAGACCTGGATCTAGGGTGTACAAACCCAAAGACTCTGTAGACATCACCTGTAGTGAGGGCTTTGATCTGATTGGCCCAGCACAGGTCATGTGTGGACCAGACGGCCAATGGCAGGCCTTGCCTGAGTGTCGCCCGAAAAGGATTACAGGTACATTAAAAGTCTGTGTGTGTGTGTGTATGTGTGAGAGAGTGTGTGTGTGTGTGTATGTATATATAGTCTCAGAAATAAATATGGTACTTTGGCATATTGAATACAGCTTGGTTCTCTCACAGATAAATGTGGTCCAGCTCCATCATACCCTCATGCTTTCCCCAGAGACGAGTCCTCCACGCTGAAAGAGTATCCGTCCGGTGCTCGCATTCGCTACAAATGCAGTATAGGATACGGGCGGGTCAGAGGAAGTATCAATATACACTGCCAGAACGGCCAGTGGACAAACCTGCAGCTCCGATGTGAAAGTACGCCAGAAGACTTTTAACTTCATTTGCTCCCACTTTCTATACTGAAGAATCTAAGGATTATTAGTTGCAGAGAGAGCAACCAGACATTTGTGGTGTTTTCTTTAGTTTTCTTTAGTAATCATTTCATTATGTAATGCATTGAATAATATATTAATTTATCACATATGTGACCCTGGACCACAAAACCAGTCATAAGGGTACATTTTTCGAAATTGAGATTTATACATCATCTGAAAGCTGAATAAATAAGCTTTTCTTTGATGTATAGGACAATATTTGGCTGAGATACAACTATTTGAAAATCTGGAATCTGAGGGTGCAAAAAATCTAAATATTGAGAAAATCACCTTTAATGTTGTCTAAATGAAGTTCTTAGCGATGCATGTTACTAATCAAAAATTACGTTTTGATATATTTATGGTTGGAAATGTACAAAATATCTTCATGGAACATGATCTTTACTTAATATCCTAATGATTTTTGGCATAAAAGAAAAATCGATAATTTTGATCTATACAATGCACTGTTGGCTATTGCTACTAAATTTTTGTGGTCTAGAGTCACATATAATTTCATAATTTATTCATTTTTATTATATTACCTAGTTGTATCTGTTATTTGTCTTGCTCTTGCAATGCTTGCACTGCAAAAAACAATTTCTTTCTCAGTATTTTTATCTTGTTTTTCAGTACAAAGAATTCTGGAATCAAGATATATTTACTTGAGAAGCAAAATAACTTAAGATATTAAGTCCTGTTATCTAAAAAAAAGAGATCAAAATTAAGTGACTTTTTGCTTAGAACAAGAAAAATGTATATCTGCAAATGTGGTCAGAAAAATATATTTAATTGAATTAATTTTTTTTCAAGTGTTTTGATGAATTTTTCAGAAAAAAGACTTAATCTAAAGTAATATAAATTTTGCTTCTCAAGTAAATGTATCTTGATTTAAGAATGTTTACTGTAGATATCTGTACTGGAAAACAAGACAAGTACTGAGGAAGAAAATCATTTTTGAAGTGTGCTATTGTTTAATCTTATGATTTTGTGGTTTTAAGGGATATTTGTCTTCTAGAGTTAGATAAGAGAGAATGTCTGCTTTTCAAGGTTATTAACATCACAAGATGATGATGTGAAGCAGTCTTTTTATTTTTTATTCAGTAATCTGATAAAATAACACTTGTTGGATTTATGCAGGTCATGGCTTTTCTGATGTGTTGGAAGAATCTAACAATTTGTTTATATCAAAAGGGAAGAAATGTGGATCTGCTGGAGAGATTTTCAATGGCCAGTTCGAGTACACAGGCGTGTCATTTGGAGATTCGGCTACAGCCGTCTGTCAAGAAGGGTGAGATACAGCAGTGCTTATAATACAAGTGCATTCTCACTTCTGTTTTTAGATGTAGAGGAGTTTGTTTCTTCACCAGATTTGGAGAAATCTAGCATTGCATCACTTGCTCTCCAATGAACCCTCTGCAGTGAATGGGTGCCGTATTCAACTGAAAGAAACAATACAGCTGGCTGTCGCAAAGTCATAATTAAGCTCATTTCTGTTCACTGTATTTCATTAAAATGAGCAGAACGCTATTTAGTATGTACTCAGACTAATTATTGTTGCAAAAGTAGCACTCTGATTTTTTTTTTTACAATTAAAGGGGTCATATGATGCTTTTTTAAAGATCATTATTTCTTCCAGAATGTGTGTAGAAATCTGCACATGGAGCGATGAAACAAACAAATATTCAACTGAAAGAAACAATACAGCTGGCTGTCACAAAGTCATAATTAAGCTCATTTCTGTTCACTGTATTTCATTAAAATGAGCAGAACGCTATTTAGTATGTACTCAGACTAATTATTGTTGCAAAATTAAAGGGGTCATATGATGCTTTTTTAAAGATCATTATTTTGTGTATTTGGTGTAACAGAATATGTTGACATGCTTTAATGTTAAAAAAAACACATTATTATATTTTCTGTTACTCTACAGCATTATGGATACTATTTTTATAGCTTGTTTTCGTTTTTTTTTTTTATATATACATATATATGAAAAATACAAAGAACATTCAGTGTAAAAAAAAAACAAGGAGAATGAGACCAGAAAAGCTTGGTTATTTAATTTGCACAAAATTGGCAGTAAGCAACTAACCTAATGTTACCAAAAGAAAAAGAGAAACAATCCATATATACTGTATGGCTACTTCTGTGATAAAGTGTGCTTTACCTTAAACTCTTAAAATAAAAATGGAAAGTGGTTAGCGTTTGAATGTTTCGGTATTTCAATCCCGTGTTTAGGGTTAGAAATGGAAAAACACAAACTACACGGGGTGGGGGAACACGTCGACACAGTTCAGTTCTGAGTATGTATGCATAGCGGGAACAGCAGAGATTAAACTTATTTTGAGGTATGAAAGAACTGTTTTAATGCTTAATCTTATGTAATTGAGTTGTTGATTTGATATTATATACTGTATATATATTGTATACAATCCACGGAAGAAAGTCGGCCATAGTTTATGACAGAAAGGTGATGTTATTTTCGGGTGATCTATTCTTAATATATTAGCAAAAAAAATATGTATTCATTTATGTCCTTAATATTTTACTCTCATAACTACTTTATGAATTATTTTTATGAATATCCTTGAGGCTATGCTATTCTGTTTAGCTAATCACGGCTGATGTCTGAGACTGCAGGCGAGTACACTACTTTTACAACGGCCTTGTAAAATGTGCAATTATAAATCAATATAAATGTATTTAATATTAGTATGACAAATATTAACATACACTTTGGTCATTTTTCTCAGGTATATAAATCTGGATAAAAAGATGAACGCCACAATAAAATATTCTGAAATAATAAAGGGATAAGTTTAGCTATAGGTGACAGTACTCTACTACATTGTGGATACTTTTATTATTTACTATTATTATTATTTACCTTTATTTGAATCTTACTTTTTGCTTTTGTGTTTCGGTGACTTTTTTTCTGTACACATGTAAAAAAATCAAAATAGACAACTTTAAGAACACCAATTTCTTTCATTTAAAAAGACAATACAAAATCCAGACATTTTTTACATGAGCATAAACAAATTTCAAGTGCAAATACCATTTCCCATTCCATGAAACATTGTGGCAAAGTAATTTTTTCTCTAACAAAAAAGACACTTTGAAAAAGAAAAATGGGGAAAAGATGGAAAGAAAAACAGACCAATAATAATAAAACAGCAACATGGATTGATCAAAACACTTAACATGGTTTGAAATGGGTTTGGTAGAGCAAAGACAAAGGGGAAATGATCAAAATAAAGCAGCAGTCACAGACCGCCAATGACATAGACGAGTTAAGAGTAGCTAATACGCTGCATTTCTTTTAGAGAACATTCAACAAAACATTGACTACTTTGCCACAAACTTTTCATTTCATGGCAATTGTGGCTATTTCACATATGACCCATCCCTTTTTTCATGGAAATATCCAACTTGCAGTGCTGCAACACATGACATGTTTAGTAGTAGACGGTGAGTTTTGGTTTCTATGAGTGGGGCAATATTGACATTTCACTTCTTCTTGGGTTAATCCAAGCTTTTTCTTTTATATCATATTTATACATTTAAACAATTATATTAGTGACCCATGTAATAGCTGACAAATGTACAAAATACCTAAAAAGTCAGTAACTGCTTCATAAAATGACTCTTGCAAATGTCACACATTCCATCCTCTTTAGTTCTGGATTCTATGATATAGTCTTAAAGGTTAACATTTTCGGTCCATAACATAAAAATAAAAATTGGGTGGGACAACCAAGTGTGTCTGTAGTTGGATTAACTTTAATTAAAAGAGGTTTGGATTAAACGCAAAGGTTACTGTTAAATGCATTTGACCTCATGTGGAGCCAGCGAAGTCAAAACCACAAAATGTTCTTTTTCCAGCACAGAAATAATCCCAAAACATTCTACGCAAGTATGTAAATGCAAACATTTTTAGCTTGTTTTAATTCATCGCCGTTTTCTGAAATGCGCAAGTACTATGTTGCATTCTGAGCACTGCATTAGCGTAAACCAGTGGTTCCCAACCCTGGTCCTGGAGGCACCCCAACACTGCACATTTTCCATGTCTCCTTAATCAAACACACCTGATTCAGGTCATCAGCTCATTAGTAGAGACTCCAAGACCTGAAATTGGTGTCAGAGAAAGGAGACATGCAAAATGTGCAGCGTTGGGGTGCCTCCAGGACCAGGGTTGGGAACCATTGGCGTAAACTACAGTGAGATTTGTCTTTTAGGTGAACTACTGAGATGGCGAAGAGAATCTCATTGAGCAAGTCAATGTATGTAATTAGCTTTCTGTTTTTTTTTTATTTCAAAAAGTAACTATCGCGCCCCCTTAAGTCCCGAAGACTGCATGAATGCAAGAGTGCATGTTTATATACAACTGGGACCATGTGTTTGCAACACATTGGCCGAGCGTTTGCATACTTGCATAGAGTACGTATCTGGCGATAATGTTTAAAGTTCGAATGGACCCTCTTTTGCGTCAGCCTTGGACATGAGCATAGCACAACGGTAAATACAAGGTCGGGAGAACAACTTGTGTTTGGACTTATCTTTCAGGCTCCAATTAGTCTACGTTTATTTCATATTTACAATATACAAAAAAAAAGAGAACAGTAAACTACCATTTTGACCAGTCCTTTTCTGTTTACATATCAAAACTGGGTATGGTTTGTCCTTCTCGTTCTTTTCTCACTTTATGTGAGGGGCTTTACCTATAAACACATTCATGAGGAATACTAACGGGTTCGTAATTAATACAAGAAACTCTCATAAATGTCGACACCCACAGGTTTATCCCGACACTTTTTGCACTTCAGGCACTTCTCACCAAGGTCCGGTGAAACCCAACACTTGTAACCCGTACGCTGCTACTCTTTGGGTCCTTACATAATGTGCAAAACAATCTCAAAACACTGTCGTTTCATCCTGAAATGTGGAGCGTGCCGTTTTTCTGTTTTTCCATCCGCGTCAACCTGTGGTTTACGTTTATCAGTGATTCGTGTCTGCATTATGAAAACATTACTTCCAACCTGTGAAAGAGTTTGGCCCCTCGACTGCTCTTCTCTGTAGGAAATGTATTGAATCGCATTAGGTAAAACCGAAGGCTTAAAGTGACGTTTCTGAAGAAGCAGCAATTGCATGTCCTGCAAAAACCTTCACAGAACTGTGTTAACAGTTTTAACAATACCAACCGACCTTTTCATCACCCCAGCCTTTCCAATAACCTACATGTCTCTTATGCCTCATGTTAAATTAACTTGAATATTAGGAAATAGACGAATATGCATTTGACAATAATACCATCCGAACAGGCAGACCTTAATAAAACATTACTGTTTCAACAGCATGACTTTTAGAGATTATATGTATGCTCTAGGAGCTCAAATATAATGCTTTAACATTGTGAAATGCTTGATATGAATTAGATCTTACCAAGAGCACACTAAAAGTACAGCTATACAAAAGATTTGTACATTTATTTTGAGAACTACGAGTTTACGAGAGCTGGAACTTGGGGAAAAAAGCCTATTTTTAAAGCACGATCACAGCTAGCTCCAGTTCGACAAATAGGTTTTCTTCTCTTTGACATGCTACAACTTTTAGTCTGTACAACACAATCAGGCGTGTTTAAACTCACGTCGCTCTTAACGGGGTTTGTGGGAACCACCCAAACCATCGTCTTCCTCTACGGGACGCCTCAGGACTGAGCGTGCAAACCACCGAACGAAAAAAATAAAAAACATCGACACATCACAGAACGGTGACCGACACGTAGAGAAAGGAAACACTTGAGTTTGGCTGGATACGACTGCGTTACATGTAGACTACACGGAAGCTTTTTTCCCCTCAGAGATGACTGACAAGAAAAAGAAAAGAAAAAGGTAAAGTGAAACATCTGCATAGTGTGATTGTGTGTGTGCTGTTGAAAATGTGTGTGTGTGTATATTTCCTTTAAATGTGTGTGTAGGATCCCGTTGACTCGAGGCCAGGTGACAGGAGGTGTGTGGAGGCAGATGGCGCTTTTGACTATTTGTACGGACGCAGGAAGGCGGAGACTTTGCTGTGAATGAGGCGTATGAAGGAACGCGGGAGCATCTCTGTGGAGTCCCGAGTTGAGTACTTGTAGTAATTGTTTGGGTGAGCCAGCACGTCGAACAGAGTTTTAATCAGTTTTTTATCCTGGCGAGAAACAAAAAGGAGTCAAATGGAATGAGACCTGGAATAAACGGTGTCATCATGCATGGAAACAAGTTTAAACAATCTTTCTATTACTTGAAACACAGTTTAAGGAAAAATCACACTTGGAGCAAATTACGGGTTTTCGATAAAGAGATGTAGTAAATGAGACTTGTGTCTTGGAAAACACATAAAAAAGTATCTTAACACATTCATTGCTGTTATTGCAAAGTTAGACTTCATTACCCTGCAAATAATTTTTTTTTTCTTGTTTTCCAGTATAAATATCTAAACATTCTTAACTGAAGATATTTTAAATTGAAAAGCGAAAAACGTAATTATTTTCAAAAAAAAAAACTATCTAAATTAAGTGAGCTTAAAACGAGAAATACATCTGCAAGTGGGGACAGAAAAGTAAACTTGTTTCAAGGGGAAAACTTATTTTTCTTACCCATTGGCAGATAATTTTTCTTGTTTTCAACAAAAACTTGCTTTTGATACATTTTTCAGAACACAAGACTTACATCTTAAAGGCACAATATGTAATTTTCGCCACGAACATTCTTTTAAACATTCGGGATAATGTAAGTACACAAGTCAGCAAAATATATAACACGGCTCTAGTGGTTTTTGGATATTTGAATAAAAAAAATCTTACATATTGTGCCTTTAAGTCATTTTACTTCAAGTTAATGTATCTTAAGAATGTTTAGATATTTGTATCGGAAAACAAAAAAAAAGTCAATGCAAAACTGACCTTAAGTATTTCTTGATGGTTTTCAGAGGCGTAAAGTCTTCCATCTCTTACAATGTCTTCAACCAGTTGCTCATAGTCTTCTAAATACAAGAAAATCAAAACACTTAAGTGACAATGAAAGTCAAGAATGAATTGAAACTCATCACAAATCTTTCTCCTGAGAATTTTTTGCATTATTTTTTATATACACACACATGTATATATATATATATATATATATATACATACATACAGTGCTGTGAAAAAGATTTTGCCCCCTACCTGTTATTTTTATTTTTTTTGCATATTTGTCACACTTGAATGATTCAGATCATCAAACAAAATTTAATATTACACAAATATAACCCGAGTAAATACAAAATGCAATTTTGAAATAATAATTTTATTTATTAAGGGAAAAAATAACTGTTCAAACCTGCCTGGCCCTATGTGAAAAAGTAATTGCCCTGTCACAATTGGTCACAAACTGATGGCCGGACATTCTCCTTCAGGATTTTCTGATAGAGAGCAGAATTCATGGTTCCGTCAATTATGGCAAGTTGTCCAGGTCCCGAAGCTGCAAAGCAGCCCCAGACCATCACACTACCACCACCATGTTTGACTGTTGGTATGATGTTCTTTTTATGAAATGCTGTGTTGGTTTTACGCCACATGTAACGGGACACACACCTTCCAAAAACTTAAACTTTTGTCTCATCAGTCCACAGAACATATACAAAAGTCTTGGGGATAATCAAGATAATTTTTGGCAAATGAGAGACGAGCCTTTGTGTTCTTTTTGGTCAGCAGTGGCTTTTGCCTTGGAACTTTCCCATTGATGCTATTTTTGCCCAGTCTCTTTCTTATTGTTGAATCATGAACACTGAGCTTAATTGAGGCGAGTGAGGCCTGCAGTTCTTTAGATGTTGTTCTGGGTTCTTTTATGACCTCTTGGATGAGTCGTCGTTGTAATTTTGGAGTAATTTTGGTTGGCAACTCCTGGGAAGGTTCACCATTGTTCCAAGTTTTCACAATTTGTGGATTATGGCGCTCTGACCATGGTTCGCTGGAGTCCCAAAGCCTTAGAAATGGCTTTATAATCCTTTCCAGACTGATACATGTCAACTGTTTTGCCTTAGAAATGGCTTTATAACCCTTTTCAGACTGATACATGTCAACTATTTTGATTCTCATCTGTTCTTGCATTTCTTTAGATCATGGCATGATGTTCACGTTGTCAGACAGGTTCTATTGAAGTGATTTCTTGATTCAGCAGGTCTGGCAGTAATCAGGCCTTGGTTTGGCTAGTGAAAATTAACTCCGCTTTCTAAAATAATGTGGTTAATCACAGTTCTTTCATGATTTAACTGGAGGGGGCAATTAATTTTTCACGTAGGGCCAGCAAGGTTTGGACAGCTTGATTTGCTTAATAAATGAAATCATCATTTAAAAACTGCATTTTGTATTTACTTGCATTATCTTTGTGCAATATAAACATTAGTTTGATGATCTGAATCTTTTAAGTGTGACAAATATGCAAAAAAATAAAAAAAAACAGCAAGGGGGCAAAAACCTTTTCACGGCACTGTATATACACATACATACATACATATACACACACAAATAAATATGTATAGACTAGGGCTGATCTCGAGACTGTACCATCGTAAGTGACGTATGGAATCTGGAATCCGCGAGCGCTGTTTACATCGTTGGATTTGAAGTTGATCCAGAGGCGGCGCGATCGGGCTGTAAATGCAATCGGTCTCTCATACGTCTGACATGTTTCATAAGTGGTGATAGAGGTCGCTGACCCTAAGAAAAGAAAATGTCAGCATTCAAATCAAAGCTAACCTATTTTTTTAGAAGCAAATTATCACCACTAACATGGAGAGACTGCAGACACCCTGGAAAGTCAATATTTTATTACACTAATATCAAACCTAGACTGCTGTCCAAAAGTTTGGGTTTTTAGTGTTTTTTTAAGATGTTTCTTATGCTCATTTATTTGATCAAAATCATATGAAATATTACAAATTAAAATAACGGTTTAATATTTTAATTTATTCCTGTGATGCAAAGCAGAATTGTCAGCATTCATTACTCCAGTCTTCAGTGTTACATGATTCTTCAGAAATGACTTGGCTTTTTCGCAAAGATCTGCCTTGTCCAAATACCCACACTTGCGGTCTTTGCACTTGACTACTTATATGATGTATTTCCTGTATTTGGCCCAAGTGTTCAAGTGAGGATGAAGACCACAAGTCTGTGTACAACTTTTCATTACCTGATGGGACACATTTGTAGTGTTGTAAAAATGCAAGTGTTTACATAGCTTTATTTTGATGCTGTATTAAGCAGTATATAAAAAGTGCTTGTGTTGCTCATGAAAACATTTCTGAAACGTCTGTGTATTTGACAAATATTGCATATATTTCACTTCCTCTGTGATAGAGTATGCAAACACCGTGAGAGCATGGAGCAGAAAGTGTCCGACTTGACGCCTTTGCTTTTAATTTCGCCCCGACTGCAAGCGGCTACTCTCTCCAGCTGGTGGCAGGCTAGTGTAGTTCATCTCGAACAAGCCTATTCTGATTTATTAGCAATATGCTGATTTATTATTAATGTTGGAAACAGTTGTGCTGCTCAATATTTTTTGGAACCTGTGATACTTTTTTCAGGATTCTTTGATGAATAAAAAGTTAAAAAGAACAGCAATTTATTCAAAATGACAGGTTTAAAAAAAATATTAAGCAGCAAAAACGGTTTCCAACATTGATAATAAATCAGCATATTAGAATGATATCTGAAGGATCATGCGACACTGAAGACTGAAGTAATAATGCTGAAAATTCAGCTTTGCATCACAGGAATAAATTATGTTTGAAAGTATATTAAAACAGTAAACCATTATTTGAAATTGCAATAATATTTTATAATATTACTGTTTTCTTCTGTATTTTTGAAATAAATGCAACTTTGATGAGCATAAGAGACTTCTTTAAAAAGCATTACAAATCTTTCTGATCTCAAACTTTTGAACGGTAGGGTACTTTAACGCTAGCTTGCTATTTTAAGCATGTTGTACTGAAAGTGTGAAATCATTTTTGACAGTTGATTTAAAGGTTAAGCCTAGCAGAGAACAAAAACGTACCATTCTTCCTCATTACTAGGACATCTCCACACTCATCCTCAGACGGGAGGAAGATCTCCGGAACCACGATCAGAATCTTGCGTTTGTGTGGAGGGTTGATCGTCCAGATACACTCTACATTGGCTGGGTAGTTTCCTGGATAGTTGGGGGACTCGATGTACCCGATGAACTCGCCTATTTCACCCCCACATTCCCGATCTGAACACACCACAAACAAACAAGATAACATCATGGTAAAATGGAACATTTCTAGACCTGGATAACTTTTTATTCCTTAAATGCTTTTTATTCCCAGTGCCAAAATACAGGTTTATTCTTTATAAAATGCATCAGTTCACTCAAAGTGCAATTTGCTGATCTGATATTGCTTTTATTTCCAGATTTCAAATTAGCCTGATTAATCGACTGATTAGAATGAATGAATGAGTGAACTCACTCTTGCATTGAGACACACTGATGGCCCCGTCGAAGTCTGTGGTGGTGTTTCCAGGACAGGAAATGCAGTAGTTCTGTCTGAACTCAGCCTGGTAGGTTCCATGAGGACAGCGGATGCAACGATGAACTGAGGTGTTATAATAGTGACCTGGAGAACACAACACTACACACACAAACACCAATATCACATGGGCTGATTTAGCATGAAGTTTCCTTCGCACACAAGAGTCTGAGGCCCAGATTTACTGAACAGGACAAATTAACACGAGATAGCAATTCTATGAAAGTGCGATGGAAGTGGAAAGAACTGCAGTTGATCAACGTGCAAATTAAAGAATAATTATCAAAGCAATCTACAAAAAGCAGTGCAAATTAGCTTAGGGTCGCAAACAAGCAGAGTTTATGGTAATCCGGTGCGAGTAATCTACTAAACACAGGCACAAAATGGGTTAAGACATGCTTTATTTGGTCATTAAATAATGGCACAAATATCAGTAAACTGACTACCGCAACCCTTATGCCGAGTTCACACTACACGATTTTCAAAGACGTCGCATCACTGTTGGTTTCACACTGAACGACTATCTGGTGCAGCATTCAGTTGTTGCGGTGTTCACACTGAACGACTATCTGGTGCAGCATTCAGTTGTTGCTGTGTTCACACTGAACGACTATCTGGTGCAGCATTCAGTTGTTGCTGTGTTCACACTGAACGACTATCTGGGGCAGCATTCAGTTGTTGCTGTATTCACACTGCACGATGGAACGACGACAGGAGGTTACATACTGCATGATTTTACAATAGGAAGAATCGCCGACAGCTCTGTCTGATGCAGGGTTGCAAGGTTTTCGCTACAAAACCCGCCCAATTACTACTCAAAACTAGCCTGAAAATAGCCCAGTTGCTTTTGAGGGGGACCCCCAAGAAAAATCGCGTTCAGGGGGTAAAAGACATTTTTTTTTGGCAGGGTTCTCCTGGTGCAATTCACATTCCAGGGCCTAAATATCACGTTATTGGGGTCGCTTCAACCTGCTGACATAAAAAACACCCGGCGGCAATTGCGGATTTTGCAACACTGGTCCGCAAACTACGTTTCATATAACTCCTCCTTTTACAATAGGAAGAATCGCCGACAGCTCTGTCTGATGCAGGGTTGCAAGGTTTTCGCTACAAAACCCGCCCAATTACTACTCAAAACTAGCCTGAAAATAGCCCAGTTGCTTTTGAGGGGGACCCCCAAGAAAAATCGCGTTCAGGGGGTAAAAGACATTTTTTTTTGGCAGGGTTCTCCTGGTGCAATTCACATTCCAGGGCCTAAATATCACGTTATTGGGGTCGCTTCAACCTGCTGACATAAAAAACACCCGGCGGCAATTGCGGATTTTGCAACACTGGTCCGCAAACTACGTTTCATATAACTCCTCCTCGAACTTCCTGCTGCCCTGTATCTTGGTCTCTCATTGGCTGTAGATCATCGCCAATGTGTTTTTCAGTCAGAACTCATTTCACACAGCGTGATTGTGAATCGCCGACAGCTCCAGATATTTAGCATGCCAAATATTTCCCGGGCGTCGGGCGACGCGGCGATTCTCTCAGATCGCGTCTTTGATAATTCACACTGCGTGATTGTCACTCGCATGAAAGAGCACCGATTTGCCTCCGATTTCGGGCATTTGTCGGCGATTTCGCAAAACCTGTCGGCGAGTGAAAAATTGGGCTAAAATCGTGCAGTGTGAACTCGGCATTAGTAAATAACCTTGCATGATTCATTTAAATTTTCATTACTATCCTCCCAGAATATTTCAAATTTTTATTTAACTTATATGATATATATATATATATACCATATATACATATATGATATATTAAAATAACTAAAATTTACATAAAAAGTAACTAAATAACGGAATTACTGAAACGTTAACTGAAAATAAAATAAAAAATAAAAACTAATTTGAAATATTACTAAAAACCTATAATAGTATCTCAATGATGTTAAATTACACTGGTGTAAACAACATACAAATTGTGCACCATGTTTTGCTCCAAACATTATTTTGTCCCCACTGTCTAGCTTTATGTAAATGCACTGCACTGTAGAGTCTCAAAATGTCTGACCTTTGACCTCACAGTCATTAAAGGAGCTGGCGCCCTCTCTTTTGGTACCGAGCCCACCTCCACAGGGGAAACAGAGTGTTCGTCCTGGGTCGGGCTGGTACGTTCCCACGGGGCACAGCTGACAGGGCTTGAACCCGTCGCTGGAGAAATAACCAGGCGGACATTGACCTATAAACAGACAACAAATGACCAAGGATGGTTAAAAGTGTACTCTTAATAGAAAAATGAAAAAGTGCCTAGTGCAGCAAACATTTACATCTATTACAAGTAGAAGGCACACTGATTAAGTCTAGTTACCTGCACATGACGTGATGTTGCGGGCCCCTACTGGGCCATGGCGGTCTCCTCCAGGACAAAGGTCACAGGCCAGCTGACCTTCACGTTCCTGGAATGTTCCAGGTGGGCACTGGGCGCAGCGTTCCTGCTCACCATGGTAGTAAGACCCAGGCAAACATCTGACTAAGAGAGAGCAGCCAGCAGGGGGCAGCAGTGAGGAAGCTGAAGGCCTAAATATCACGTTATTGGGGTCGCTTCAACCTGCTGACATAAAAAACACCCGGCGGCAATTGCGGATTTTGCAACACTGGTCCGCAAACTACGTTTCATATAACTCCTCCTCGAACTTCCTGCTGCCCTGTATCTTGGTCTCTCATTGGCTGTAGATCATCGCCAATGTGTTTTTCAGTCAGAACTCATTTCACACAGCGTGATTGTGAATCGCCGACAGCTCCAGATATTTAGCATGCCAAATATTTCCCGGGCGTCGGGCGACGCGGCGATTCTCTCAGATCGCGTCTTTGATAATTCACACTGCGTGATTGTCACTCGCATGAAAGAGCACCGATTTGCCTCCGATTTCGGGCATTTGTCGGCGATTTCGCAAAACCTGTCGGCGAGTGAAAAATTGGGCTAAAATCGTGCAGTGTGAACTCGGCATTAGTAAATAACCTTGCATGATTCATTTAAATTTTCATTACTATCCTCCCAGAATATTTCAAATTTTTATTTAACTTATATGATATATATATATATATACCATATATACATATATGATATATTAAAATAACTAAAATTTACATAAAAAGTAACTAAATAACGGAATTACTGAAACGTTAACTGAAAATAAAATAAAAAATAAAAACTAATTTGAAATATTACTAAAAACCTATAATAGTATCTCAATGATGTTAAATTACACTGGTGTAAACAACATACAAATTGTGCACCATGTTTTGCTCCAAACATTATTTTGTCCCCACTGTCTAGCTTTATGTAAATGCACTGCACTGTAGAGTCTCAAAATGTCTGACCTTTGACCTCACAGTCATTAAAGGAGCTGGCGCCCTCTCTTTTGGTACCGAGCCCACCTCCACAGGGGAAACAGAGTGTTCGTCCTGGGTCGGGCTGGTACGTTCCCACGGGGCACAGCTGACAGGGCTTGAACCCGTCGCTGGAGAAATAACCAGGCGGACATTGACCTATAAACAGACAACAAATGACCAAGGATGGTTAAAAGTGTACTCTTAATAGAAAAATGAAAAAGTGCCTAGTGCAGCAAACATTTACATCTATTACAAGTAGAAGGCACACTGATTAAGTCTAGTTACCTGCACATGACGTGATGTTGCGGGCCCCTACTGGGCCATGGCGGTCTCCTCCAGGACAAAGGTCACAGGCCAGCTGACCTTCACGTTCCTGGAATGTTCCAGGTGGGCACTGGGCGCAGCGTTCCTGTATATATATATACCATATATATATATACATATACATATATATCATATATATGATATATTAAAATAACTAAAATTTACATAAAAAGTAACTAAATAACGGAATTACTGAAACGTTAACTGAAAATAAAATAAAAAATAAAAACTAATTTGAAATATTACTAAAAACCTATAATAGTATCTCAATGATGTTAAATTACACTGGTGTAAACAACATACAAATTGTGCACCATGTTTTGCTCCAAACATTATTTTGTCCCCACTGTCTAGCTTTATGTAAATGCACTGCACTGTAGAGTCTCAAAATGTCTGACCTTTGACCTCACAGTCATTAAAGGAGCTGGCGCCCTCTCTTTTGGTACCGAGCCCACCTCCACAGGGGAAACAGAGTGTTCGTCCTGGGTCGGGCTGGTACGTTCCCACGGGGCACAGCTGACAGGGCTTGAACCCGTCGCTGGAGAAATAACCAGGCGGACATTGACCTATAAACAGACAACAAATGACCAAGAATGGTTAAAAGTGTACTCTTAATAGAAAAATGAAAAAGTGCCTAGTGCAGCAAACATTTACATCTATTACAAGTAGAAGGCACACTGATTAAGTCTAGTTACCTGCACATGACGTGATGTTGCGGGCCCCTACTGGGCCATGGCGGTCTCCTCCAGGACAAAGGTCACAGGCCAGCTGACCTTCACGTTCCTGGAATGTTCCAGGTGGGCACTGGGCGCAGCGTTCCTGCTCACCATGGTAGTAAGACCCAGGCAAACATCTGACTAAGAGAGAGCAGCCAGCAGGGGGCAGCAGTGAGGAAGCTGAAATTCTGAGCTCTGTTTCTTTTTTGTTTTTTTTTGACAGATGCAACTTTTAAATTAGACTCTAAAGACCTTGTTGTTTTAAGCGATCAATGTAAAATGCTATAATTCGTAATCCAAGAGTTGGTTTTGTTTCCATTGCATTTGTTGTCAGTACTTCCCAATTCCTTCTTATAAATGTTTGCAAGCAATCTCACATAACTAGTATTGTCAAAGAATAGCAATGGCATAACGTCTGTTCATTTTACACATTTTGCATCACTTCTGCATAAAAAACCAGACAAGCTTAGGCGATCAGAGTCCAAGCCAAATCTCTTTCAGCAACATTTTTCTATATGCTGTAGGTTCGTTTTATGACAATTTATTTCATATTTCACATATTTTATTTATATAAAATGTATAATTTCTAGGTATTTCTTGGGAAAAACTGCTATGGAATATAAAAGGAAACAACAACACATTTTCACAGAAAAAAGGGGTGAACAGTATCAGCGTCATAATAATCTTAAAAAAAGTAGACCTAAAACTTTTATTCATGAGTCGCTAATTTAGAGTCTCAGCTAAATAGCCTACAAGTCAACTGTTTTGTGACAGTGCAAGTCCCAGACCATCTCTAGTAGATGCTCTCCTTCGTTCTTAACAGTTGGCACTTTGTTTAAAGATAGCTCTCTTGCATCAAGTTGCAGTGGAGAAGGGGGTTAATATAAAACAAACCCCACTCACTCTTCCGTTCTTACCACAGCGGCCGCTGTCTTTTTCTCGGCCCGGTCCACAGTTCTCCTGCCTCAGTCCAGCTTGTGGGATCTTCTGTGCCACCTCGTACTCCAATCCAGCCACACGGATGAGGAAACGCTCCTGGTTAATGGATTTTTTCAGGGCTTTAATGTACGACTTCATCTGCTGCTCCATGCGCTGCCTTTGACACATCATGTTACAGTTCCCTACAGGAGAACAAGATGAACGTTATGACCTTCCACGCTCATCCTGCATTTTCTGTAGGTAGGTAGAGGGTTTGTTTTAGGTGGAGGATGTCAGACTCACCAGTGGCGTCTCCTGGCTTGACCTCAGCCTCCAGCTCCAGAGTGATGCGCGTGACCTCTTTGCTTGATGGGTTACGTGCCCGACGACCTTTGGCCTTCTTAGACGAGTCGCACTTCAGGTTAACGAACGTGACCAGGCAGTTATTGCACGGTTGGCCACCTGGAAATCAAGTTATTATTCACACAAAGACGGCACTTAAATGTAATTGTTTCACATTTTTTGGAAAAGACACTATTAGATTGTCAACTTACTAACTTTTTTTACATATAAACATGCGTGCACAGAGCAAATCACATATTGTGATCGAGATGCACATATGCTTCTGTGTTTACCATATGTGTATGCTTGTGTGTAGATGATTGTTTAGATCAGGGGTGGTGAACTCCGGTCCTGGAGGGTTCAACTCCAACCCTAAAAAACTATCCTGCCTGTAGCTTCCTAGTAACCCTTCAGACCTTGATTAGCTTGTTCAGGTGTGTTTGATTAGGGCTGAAGCAAAACGATTGCCTTGTCCAAATACCCACACTTGCGGTCTTAGCACTTGACCACTTGAACACTTATATGACGTATTTCCTGTATTTGGCCCAAGTGTTCAAGTGAGGATGAAGACCACAAGTGTGTGTCGAACTTTTCATTACCTGATGGGACACACTTATAGTGTTGTAAAAATGCAAGTGTTTACATAGCTTTATTTTAATATTAATTTTAAATACTTTGCACTTTAAAATCAACTTATAAATGTCTATTCAGTAGTCCCTATAACATGACATTTTTAATTTGTGGTGTTTCTAATTAAGTGATAAAAAGCAGTTGCAAATGTTGTACAAAATAAATATCACCAATACTCATCTTTGCACCAATAAAACGTAAAAACACTGTTTTTCTACCAAATTATATGTAATATCTAATTATTATATTAAAGCGTTCATATGATGCGATTTCAAGTTTTCCTTTCTCTTTGGAGTGTTACAAGCTGATTGTGCATAGATAAGATCCCTGAAGTTGCAAAGACTAAAGTCTCAAAACCAAAGAGATATTCTTTATCAAAGTTAAGACTCTGCCACGCCCCCCTAAAACGGCTCGTTCTAACATGCCCCCAGATATCTAGGTCACTATGTGGGAATATTTGCATAAGGCCGCCCAAATGTGCACGCAAAGAAAGAAGGCGTGGTTTCAGTAACCGCAGTTAGTGTTGAAGCAGCCATATCAGGGAGACGCTGTGTGTTTCTAGGCGAGATCTTTAAAAAAGCATCATATGACCCCTTTAATATTTAACTTGCATTGGAAAGGTTTCTGTGACCTCTCGAGAGATTTCGGCAAAAAGTCTCACGATTTATTCCAAAACATGATGCATGATGGGATACACTAAGCCTCGAATAGTGCTCCGGAGCGGTATTCAAGATAGTGTGGATTTAGTGTGCATTAAGGGTACTGCACTTTGGCGTTTTGAAGACCTGGGACAGTCTTGCGCACTTACTTCCTGTCGCGCACACGCACACGCACTCTCAAGTGGTCAAGACTGCAAGTGTGGGTATTTGGACAAGGGGTCTGAAGGGACTGACGTTTGCCACCCCTGGTTTAGATCGTCATATAAAGTGCTCGTACAAAGACTTGGATTATGTGGATTCGTTTTACCATGCCTTCACAACCTTAAAGTGCCCCTATTATGCCATTTCTAATATTGCCTTTCATGCAGTGTGTAATGTAGCTGTATGTGAATGTAAACAATCTGCAGAGTTGTAAAGCCAAAAGTGCATGATAAATAAAGTTGTCTCCTAAAATAAAGAATTGGCTCTATAAGTATGATAAAAAATAGATGTTTATATTTTCTATCGAGCATTAAAAATATGGAACTATGGCAATGTGAGTATCGTTTCTGACACATGCTGTACACGATAGACCAATCACAACAGACTGGGCCATCCAACCAATCAGATCAAAGTAGGCTCAGGGAAAGGAGAGGTTTAGAGCAGGGCTGCAACAACTAATCAATAAAATCGATAATAATCGATAATGAAAATTATCGACAACGAATGTCATTATTGATTAGTTGCGTCTACCCACCATGCACGGAAACTTATGCCAGTCGCATCAAACACTGAATAACGCATTGTATGGACGAAATTAATTTAATAGTGGAAGAAACGGAGTGAGTTGCTTCAGGAAAGGTGTGTGATGCAAGCTGCCCAAAACATGCAAATGCTGTATTTTAAAATTCAAACTAATGCAGTAGTGAAATGTTTAACATTGCTCATCCTGTCAGGCACTTTGACAGATGCACGTATTTAATGTGTGATATGATTCCTCAGTGCAAAACTTTCATTTTACGGTTATATCATTATCTGTAAATGTTACATATTCATGCAAGTGTTTTTATTTTGCATTAAGGCTCATTCTGACAGTCTGCGTTAAACTTCAGAATTTACTGAACGAGCGGCGGCGCTTCAAACAGACTGAATGCAGTAGAGAGGAAGAAAATTAATATGCACCGCAAAAATATTCAATTTGCTGAAATATCTGTTATTGGATTTTACATTTAGGTTTAAAAGTCAACATGTAATTCAAGAATTTTATGATAGTAACTGTAAAGGGATAACAGCGTGTAATTGAATATATATTTAAGACGTTCCTTACATTTACAGATAAAATAAATGACAGTAACAGATTAATGTATTCAGAGTGAATTTGTGTGTTGACGCAGAACATTCCTCTCGTCTGTTAACACTGAGTTTGTGCTTTTCTTTATTATCGTCATTGTCATCTCTATTTTTAGTGTAGTGATTTAAACTGTCCTTTGTCCATTTGTCTATTTAAACTCTCCACTTAAACTGTGCTTTATAACTATTTTTGCACATAATGTACTAAATAGCATAGATATAGATATATTCACCATACAGTATGTTTATAGCATTTAGTTGGCACATCTGTTTGAAGGATAGCATTAGGCAGCATGTGGAATAGTGTATTTTGTCAATAAAAAAAGACAGGCTTGTTATCCGATTAATCGAAAAATATAATCGGCCAACTAATCGATTATCAAAATAATCGTTAGTTGCAGCCCTAGTTTAGAGAGACTGAATATTAGAACTGCTTCGAAATCTCAAAGGTTTCATTAAAAATGTTAGGAAGTAAGTGTGAGTAAATGACAACAGAATTTTCATTTTTGGGTAAACTATCCCTTATCCCAATTATTGCTGTCTAAGTAGCAAAACGAGAATGCAGCTCCCTCAGCAAATAGTCCTATGACCTTATTCCACAACAGGGACCATCAAAATGACATGGTACCCTTCATTTCCTGGCCCCTATGACCTCTGACCTGGCCCGATCTGTCTGCCGTTGTCCTCTGCCCTCCCCTTATGCTTCGGGTGCAGGTGGCATTTGGCATTCTTGATCCGGAAGGACGCCGTCTGCTTCACTGGAGGAGCCTGAGTCTCTACAACCAAACAAAGAGGCCTTGACATGCAGCTCAACATGATTCATATAAAGTCCTTGCTGACAACTACTAGCTAACTACATTAATTCACAGCTGCTGGCTTGCTACATGCAACGCGCATGATTGAGAAAACAAAACCAGCTGGGCTGTTTGTGAACATTTAAAGCAGATTCGTGTTAGCTTTATGCTCACTCTGATCACTTATGAGGAACAGCAATTTGAGATTATAGTGTGCCGTGACAGGCATCCTAATGTGAAACAAGTTTGACATCAAAACAAACATCAGGCATGGTAAATAAGTTTCTAATTTGCCAAGCGCATCAAATGATCATGTAATTGGACAGCTGCGATGTATCTGTCATTATGTTTCTCGGAATCATTGACTGCAGCTGTTCAAAAGAAATGTCTCATCGCTTTCCAGGTTCTGTTTGCCGGCACTTTCAACAAATAGGGTACAAAATAGGACCTAAATGTCTTAGAAAATTAAGTCTTTTTCAACAAATGATCAGTGAAATTGAGGGGCTTAGCATTAAGAAAATGTTTATCGTTAACCCCAGGAGATCAAATTAAAATATAGTTGCAAGTAGCGATGGCGGGCCTAAGCCATCAGCGCAAACACCACCCCGGTGGCATCTGGAGAATGGTGCACAGTGGGCACATGCATCTACAGTAACCCTCTGGCAGGCTGGTTTTAAGGGATACAGAAATAAAAGGGTTAATCCAAACCATTAAGACTGTGAAACACACACACACACACAACAATATATAAAACTTTGGTAATACTTTACAATAAGGTTTCAGTTATTAACATTAACTATATAAATGAACATGAACAATAATTATATAGCATTTATTAATGTTAGTTAATATTAAGTTCAAAACTAAAACATTATTAATTTAAAGCTTTATCTGTTAACATTAGTTAATGCAATGTGAATTAACATGAACATTTTGATTAACTAACATCAACAGCCATTAATAAATGCTGCAATAATATATTGTGCATTGATGGTTCTTGTCAGTTAATGCATTTACTAATGTTAACAAATGAGGCATTATTGTAAAGTGTTACCAAGCCTTTAATTATTTATATGCATTTTCTAACGATTTTATTGATCTAAAAGCATTTGTGAAATATTTTTGCCTGCATTACAGCTTAGTCTTCATCTGAGCTGAACTGTTTGACAGTTTTTAATTTTCTGTCACTCCCCTGAGCATTTTAAATATATGAAACTAAGCATGTTTCCAACGAATGACTTGTTCTCCATATGTAAAAAGTTTTGAAGAGTTTGGATAATGCACTTTAAAGATATCAGAAAATTCAGATGACTGTCATGTCACAGGATGTCATAGGTCAGAATCAAATGAGTGTCAAATAATTTTTTGCAGCACAAAAATGTATAAATCCACGCGTTTGTCTCTTTAGATCTTTTTGTTGTAATTAACATAATTAGTGAATAAAGCGATGTTTAAAAGTCTCTCTCTCTCCCACCCCCACACTCAACACGCACACAGAGGTAAAGTGAGATCAGATGATTTTTACATTATTCTGATGAAGTTTGAAGCAAATCGAGTAAAAATAAGATGCTGAATTCAAAGCATTTTGAAAAAGACACACTTCCTGCGCTATAACTTTGACTCATAATACTCACATCTATGAGATCTGCATCATACAACAAACAAACCACTGAAGTTTGATCAAAATCAGACAATGTATGTGGAAGTTATTAGACGCTTCCTGTTTCTCATTTCTCGCCATAACATCATCGCCTCGCCACGGCCAAACCATTCGAGATATCAAAAATCCCTTCGCAATTTAGCATCCCCAATGTCTTGAGATCATGTTCACTGAGTTTGGTGGCAATCGGGTAAAAAACCTATGAGGAGTATATCAAATTCCACAGCATGAGCTTTTTACACAGCCCTGAATAGCCAACTTCCTGTTGGGCGGAGCCTATAACATGCAGTGCGAAAGTTGTTCGGCTCAATGAGTCCTAGATGTGTACCGAGTTTCATATGAATATGTGCAAGTATGTGTGAGATATACGTAAAGTTTTCTGACTGTGTTCCAGGTGGCGCCGTAGAGTCCCTGTGCCACGCAAGAGTTTTTGAGCACGTTAAGGCCCCCAAAAAACCCTGGATAGTCTCGAAAAAAAAAAAAAAGAAAATAAGAAAAAAATTATAATCCTTAGGGGATCAAAAGGGCCCTGCACCTTAGTGGCTTGGGCCCTAATAATATATGATCTGTTTGATTTTCTATTAGTTTATATGTGGAATCCTTCATACTAAAACTTTGATAAATAAATTATGATAAATAATAAACACTATGCTAAAATGGGTAACAGGTTTGCTAGTTTATGTCCAAGTTTGAAGCAAATCGAGTAAAAATAAGATGCTGAATTCAAAGCATTTTGAAAAAGACACACTTCCTGCGCTATAACTTTGACTCATAATACTCACATCTATGAGATCTGCATCATACAACAAACAAACCACTGAAGTTTGATCAAAATCAGACAATGTATGTGGAAGTTATTAGACGCTTCCTGTTTCTCATTTCTCGCCATAACATCATCGCCTCGCCACGGCCAAACCATTCGAGATATCAAAAATCCCTTCGCAATTTAGCATCCCCAATGTCTTGAGATCATGTTCACTGAGTTTGGTGGCAATCGGGTAAAAAACCTATGAGGAGTATATCAAATTCCACAGCATGAGCTTTTTACACAGCCCTGAATAGCCAACTTCCTGTTGGGCGGAGCCTATAACATGCAGTGCGAAAGTTGTTCGGCTCAATGAGTCCTAGATGTGTACCGAGTTTCATATGAATATGTGCAAGTATGTGTGAGATATACGTAAAGTTTTCTGACTGTGTTCCAGGTGGCGCCGTAGAGTCCCTGTGCCACGCAAGAGTTTTTGAGCACGTTAAGGCCCCCAAAAAACCCTGGATAGTAATTAGTGAATAAAGCGATGTTTAAAAGTCTCTCTCTCTCCCACCCCCACACTCAACACGCACACAGAGGTAAAGTGAGATCAGATGATTTTTACATTATTCTGATGAAGTTTGAAGCAAATCGAGTAAAAATAAGATGCTGAATTCAAAGCATTTTGAAAAAGACACACTTCCTGCGCTATAACTTTGACTCATAATACTCACATCTATGAGATCTGCATCATACAACAAACAAACCACTGAAGTTTGATCAAAATCAGACAATGTATGTGGAAGTTATTAGACGCTTCCTGTTTCTCATTTCTCGCCATAACATCATCGCCTCGCCACGGCCAAACCATTCGAGATATCAAAAATCCCTTCGCAATTTAGCATCCCCAATGTCTTGAGATCATGTTCACTGAGTTTGGTGGCAATCGGGTAAAAAACCTATGAGGAGTATATCAAATTCCACAGCATGAGCTTTTTACACAGCCCTGAATAGCCAACTTCCTGTTGGGCGGAGCCTATAACATGCAGTGCGAAAGTTGTTCGGCTCAATGAGTCCTAGATGTGTACCGAGTTTCATATGAATATGTGCAAGTATGTGTGAGATATACGTAAAGTTTTCTGACTGTGTTCCAGGTGGCGCCGTAGAGTCCCTGTGCCACGCAAGAGTTTTTGAGCACGTTAAGGCCCCCAAAAAACCCTGGATAGTCTCGAAAAAAAAAAAAAAGAAAATAAGAAAAAAATTATAATCCTTAGGGGATCAATAGGGCCCTGCACCTTAGTGGCTTGGGCCCTAATAATATATGATCTGTTTGATTTTCTATTAGTTTATATGTGGAATCCTTCATACTAAAACTTTGATAAATAAATTATGATAAATAATAAACACTATGCTAAAATGGGTAACAGGTTTGCTAGTTTATGTCCAAATGTTGGTTTATAGTTAATATGCTTAATGGGTTCTGTAACATATCTCACAATAAAAATGAGATTACCTCTAATGCGATTACCTGTATGGGAACCTATAATGGTAAAATACAAAATACAAATTAGCCATCAAAGTCTACCCTATTTGTGGAAAGTGCACACCATTAGTCGCCAAGATTCAAATCAAGTCTTGACTGACCTACTCCTCAGTGATGACTTAAATACCCTTTTTGTGAAAAAAAACATTACTTGCCAAGATTCAACTGCTTTCAAATTCTACATGTTGGGATGTATGTATGATCTTACCTATGCAGCTCTGGATGCTGCTTGCATTTAATCTGCTCTGAGATTTACCTCGTAGAATGGGTATTCCACAGCTGACAGAATAGCTGTTGTCTGATTCTGTGAAACGTAAAATGGAAATTGATCACCAGCATTAGAGTTGACTGCACAAGCTTGTAATATTAAGTAATTTGGGGGGTATTGGTTCGTACCTGATAGGTAATGTGCTTTGGATGCACACGTGAGAGAGCAGCTCTCTTTTTTCCCCATCTTACTGCAAGTAAGGGTGGCTTTGGGGGCCACCAGACTGGATGTACATTTCACGATCTCTGTGCAGAAATGGTAAGTTTGACTCCAAGCAAGTACACTGAATTATGTTAATATGCATCAAAAGTGATTGGATCTCAAAGAAAATCAACTAATACAAATCTATAATTTATAAAATAAGGAATTAATCTGCAGTATTTGGCATTTGCACTTGAACTATAAGATTTTAGTTGCATCTGAATGGCCTCTAGGTGGCACTCTTGTCCACATACCGACACAGTCCTTCCTGTTCCAGTGCAGTTTGTAACCAGGAGCGCAGGTACACTCGTAACTGCCCAGAGTGTTCACGCATCCAAATTTACAGCCACCCCGATTAATGCTGCACTCATCAATATCTATAAAACAAAGCAGACAATTATAAATGATTTATCTTCGCTATAAAAGGACATAAAATATGGACATTCAACTGATGAAAATGTACTGTATGCAGAGCAACCTCCACTTCATCCAACAATGCAATTCACTCAACTCAACCTTCCATTTCCATTGTGACAAGTGAATCTAACATGGATTAAAGCTAAGTTAACAAATTAGACAGGTTAGCATCATCAGCACTTTTAGCTAGTTACTCCCCAACACTGGAACAAAACCAGCAGAGGAAAAAATAAAAAACAGAAAACCAAAGCCAAATAAGAGACAAAACGGAGGTTGTATCATTGAGTGGATTAGAAACAGAGACAAAGAAAAAGTGTGTTTCAACAAATTAATTTTCTGAAAAGCAGGGTTTTTAATGTTTCTTTAAGGAATACAGAGCTTGCTTGCTAGGCTAGTCTGGTTTTCCTTCTCTTTGTCGTTCTTTTGTTCCCCATCAGATTTGAACCGGCTCCAGGATAAACCTTTGACTTTCACATTTCCTTTCCCTGTCTGGATCCCGAGCCTTCATTAATCTAAAGAGCGAGGAAGGGGACGGGGGAAGAGAAAACCAATGTTACATGGGCACTTCTGTTAAGCTCTTGTAGATACAGACTTTGGTCAAAGTCCCTTTTATGGCAAGTCAGTCCACTTGATGACACCCTCAGGCAGCTGCTTTCAAGTCGTGCAAGTCTAGCTCCAATCTACTTGAATGGAGAAAGACCTAAACCAAAGAGTTTATGTTCTTGCACTGTAAACTCTGCAACAATCAATTCTGACCCAAGGCCTTTTGCAGCTTTAAGGCCCTGATATACTTCAAGCACAACTGAAGAACAAACTGGTGTGACATCATTTTGAACGAAATCAAGTCAAAACGCGGTTTGTTTCAGGAGTTCAACGCAGTTTGGCGAATGGTAAACGCCATCAAACCACCATTGGTCCATGTTGTGCTCTGGAAATCTTCTCCGGTTCATTTCTTCTGTTTAGTCCATCGAGGTCAGCCGCAAGCAAACATATGAACACGCTGGAGAGCTGCTTTATAGCAGAAACTGAAGTTGTAAGAGTATACCAATGCAAAGGTATTTCAAACTTCTTTTTATCCCTGAGCAAAGAACAAAAAAGAACTTCGCTCTGAGTATATCAGGGGCTTTAACTTCTATTTCCCGGCAGATAAGCTATCAATGGGAAACCGATGACAATTCTCTGGAAACAAAAGCGAGAACTCCATAAATTTGGGTGTTATCTTAGTGCCAACGGGCATAGAGATACATTCATTATTTCTGGTCCTCTCAACAATAGTTAATCACTAAATGAGTCCTCATCTGCTCAATCAGCCCTGAAACAAGGTTCACTGATGCAGCTTATTCTGGCCGAGAGCCACCCACTTAGACGGGAAGAAACCATCTGACTGATGTGATAACCATGGCTTTTAGCACTGGGTTTAGCTGAAATTGATTATATTATTACAAGACTTTCATAAGACTTTCCCGGACATCCAAATGTAACAACTACCCATTATTTCAAAGATATCCCTGAAACATGGGTTACAGCTTGTGCCTTATCCACCATAACATTAGAGCGCAAGCACATTTGTAACTTTAATGTGCAAGGCTTCCACTGTCATTCACTTCTAGTTATTTTACCTTTACAAAAACAGTCTGTTATGCTGCTTTATATTGCAAACTATTATCATAATCATAAACTCACTAGCTTGTACCGTTTACTGTGCTTCTGTAGCAGCTAATGAATCGGAAGTCTCGCACATTCAAAAGAAAATAGCTTGGTTGCAAAATAAGGTGGATACAAACCTCAGAATAACCTTTACAGATTTGTTTAGGGTCCCGATTGCTGCCAGAGGAAACTGGAGAGCATTTATATAGGAAAGTCTCAGTTTTCATGTTTGCCCAAGGTCCTACCAAGAAGAGCTAGTGGGTTTACCAACATGAGTTTTCTATTAGACGTTTCTTTACTGCCGAGGAAATGGACATTGTTCTTGTAACACAGAAACTCCCATAATGCATGGCTTACCTCCACAGTGAGCCACGCCGTAGATGACGTAACCTTTGTGGCAGTAGCACTGGAAACTTCCAGGTGAGTTCACACATGTGTGGTCACATGCCCGGTCAAATGAACACTCATCTATATCTGCAGAGACAGGAAACACAAACACTTTTATTCATATGAGAAATACTGAATTTCGCACTATAGTGTGGAAAACCGGTACACTGTAAAAAATGACCGTGAATTTAATGGTAAAAGACTGTAAAAATACTACAGTAAAATCCTGTCAAATGGTTAACGGTAAATTCCCCTACTATATACAGTGAAAAACTGTATTTGACATTACATGTATTGGACATTAATTTTACGGTATTATAGACCGTATAATTTACAGTGAATAACGTCTCTGTTACGTATGTAACCGAGACGTTCCCTTTCAGTCGGTCACTCTCGACGTCACGTCGGAGGACCGACGAAATTGGGATCCTACCAAAGGGCCACAGCTACTGCCGAGTGTAAACTAAACGAGCCAATGCACATTGGCATTTGGTCCCTCTAAGCGAGATCCCAATTTCGTCGGTCCTCCGACGTGACGTCTCTTTGACCGACTGAAAGGGAACTGTAGATTGACATTCCCAGAATTCCGTTACATTTCAAATTTGATGTTTTTTTGTTTTTGTATATTAGGGTTGTGTGTTACACCTAATGTTGTTAAATGAATGTTTATTGCATTATTTCAGTTTCATGTGTGTTACCATGATGGTGTTTGGTGTTTGTGTGAATGACACTGTGCACCTTCTATATATGTTATTATTTAAAAGCTGCTTGTGATGGGCTTTGGTTCATCATGTGACTTTCTCATCACCACCTGCATTTGGTGGTTATCAGTGTATTACAAAGGTACAAAACAGATTTCCGTACTTCAATAGGTTGGTATATTAACATTATATCAGTTAATGAAATTACGGTATTTAACTGTAAATTTAAGTTAAAACTGTAAAACCTAAAACGTTGCTACCGTATTTTTTACGGTAAAATTCCGGCAACCACAGCTGCCGTTTTTTTTACCGTAAATTTTACGGAATTTTTTTATCGGTGTAGCCACGAAGAACAGTACCATGTGGCGCTTCATCTGATGTCAATCATTTCAGTGGAATCCCCAATTAGGTCTTAATAAACCTTCTGCTGTTCATTAACACACATTACCTGGCTAGAGCCGAGGTATTTAAACCCCTCATCCTTATTTCCTCAAGACATCTGGAAATGATTTAGCCTTAAACGCTGCCTCATCTGCCGTATTATGAAATGTGTCGTAACTTAAGACCGTTTCGGGTCGGTCTCTGGATTCTGTTGACTGCCACCTCACTCATTACTGCAGAAGTTCCCTGTGCACCTCATTTCTGTCTGGGTGAATCTCATGGGAACAAAAATGACCTCAAATTTTTTCACCACATTTTCTAATTTTTGTTTTGTGTTTTTGACAACACTGATTCTCATCGCTGTCGACTTACTCGCAAGTACTTTTTTGTTTGTTTTTTACAGTTTGTATGTGAATGAGCTTATTAACAAGCTTTTAGCCTTTTGGTAGATCAGTTTAGACCACTTCGTCCTTAGGTTACCTCCAAGTGTGGCATCAAGAAGCAGCTTCATCAGTCAGGCCTTGAGAAAGCACAGCTCCATAAATGAAGGTTACACAATCAATACACGCCCCAGAAACTCTTGTTCAATCTAACAAATCACCCTGCTGATGTCTGCACTGTTTCTTGCCTTTGGTGAACATCAATTCTGGGATTTGATGTGAGTGCGGTGGGGGAGTTATCACTCAACGCCTCAGCAGGAGAATCACACTGAAGGACTTTATAGACTCCAGAGACAACAATGAATAACCCAACATGCATCATCTAATACACATGAGAATCAACACTGCCTGGATTTAGTGTAAAAAGCCAGATTTCATTTCTTTTCCAAAGGTAACTGAAGGCAAAACAACCAGCAGACTGCAAAAATTATGTTCCATCTCTGTATTTTTGTCTTGTTTTCCAGTACAAATATCTGAACTGAAATAAGATTTATAACCCTCTGGTGCTGTTTGGTCATTTTTGATTAAAAAATTTAATTTAATTTATAATTTTTTTATTCATCGGAATGGTATGAAACTTGGTAAAGGTTTTGGCACTTGCTATGTAAAACACTCACTCACTCACTCACTCACTCACTCACTCACTCACTCACTCACTCACTCACTCACTCACTCACTCACTCACTCACTCACTTATTTATAATTTTTTTATTCATCGGAATGGTATGAAACTTGGTAAAGGTTTTGGCACTTGCTATGTAAAACACTCACTCACTCACTCACTCACTCACTCACACTCTCTCTCTCTCGCTCTCTCTCTCTCACACACACACAAAATAAAATACTTGGACTTGATTCAAGCTGCCAATTTACCAGAGTTTAATAAAGGACAAATTGTGATGGCATGGCACCTCGAAACTTCGATCTTGGAAACGGCACACCTTGTAGGTTATTCATGTGCTGCTGTAGTGAGTATGTATCAAAAGTGGTGCACGAATAGCCAAACGACGAACCGTCATCCAGCCATTGTTCACAGTGACTGTTGGGCCACAGTGCGACAAATCACCAGCAGCTACAACAGCAGGGCAATGTGTCACAGCACACAGTTCATCTCAGCCCTCTGCGTAGCCGACCATCCCCATGCTAACTGCACGCAATCACCAACAACTCATGAAATTGGGCCAAAGTTTATTGAGACTGGACCATGGATGATTGGAAGAAAGTGGCCTGGTGTGACGAATCAAGATTCCTGGTGCATCACGTCAATGGCTGAGCACAGATATGCTGATTACCAACAGAGGCTATGGTGCCTGGATGCATTGTGAGGCAGACACAGGTGGTGTTATTTTGTGGGCGATGTTTTCTTGGGACACTTTAGGCCCCATTATCCCAACAACACAATCCCTGACAGCTGTCAGGTATCAGCCGGTGATAGCCATTACCAGCAGGATAATGCTGCCAGAATCGTCAAGGAGAGGATCGAGGAACATGTTAATGCCTTGGCCTCCAAATTCACCTGACATGAACCCAATCGAGAAGTGGGTTCACGCTATCACCACATCCCCACAATTTACAGGAACTGGAGGACCTGCTATTGACATTATGGTACCAGATAACCCAGGAGACCTACTGACACCTCGTTAAATCAAAGCCTTGCAGCATGGATGCGGTTTTGCGGGCTAAATGTGAGCCTGGACCATAAAACCAGTCATAAGGGTAAAGATTTATACATCATATACATCACATTACAAAATATCTTCATGGAACATGGTCTTTAATTACACTCTAAAAAATGCTGGGTTAAATACAACCCAGTGCTGGGTAAAATAGGGACAAACCCAGCAATTGGGTTGTTTTGACCCAGCGGTTGGGTTAAATGTTTAACCCAACCTTCTGGGTAGTAACCCAACCGCTGGGTCAAACCAGCCCAATTGCTGGGTTTGTCCCTATTTTACCCAGCACTGGGTTGTATTTAACCCAGCATTTTTTAGAGTGTAATATCCTAATGATTTTTGGCATAAAAGAAAAATCGATAATTTTGACCCATACAATGCACTGTTGGCTATTGCTACAAATATATCCGTGCGATTTATGACTGGTTGTGTGCTCCAGGGTCACAAATGAGGTCCTACAGGTTATTAGATATATTAGGTGGTCATAATGCAGTAAGCTCATCAGTGTAAATGGGAAGTGAATTTCATCAGGTGGAAATGTTTGCTACTGCGCCCAAAACAAAACCTTACTGAAAGGTCAATATTTGCGATATCAACCTCAAATTTGGCACAACTTGTTTAAATTTATGGCTTTGATATTCTCACAGTTTTAGAGTAAAACATGTTTTGAAAAATATATATTCCATATCATTTACTATCGGTGCATTTTTCATAATAAAAATAAACTATAATTTTTTTGTTTTTTAAATCTGCCAAGTATCTTCTTTAAAAAGAGACCAAATTTAAGTCTCTGCTCCAAAGCATTCAAGATTTGACAGTTTTAGCTGGACATTTTATTTTCAGGTATGTGCTCAAAAAGTGGTTAACAGGTAATAAATGGATTGCTTCATAAATATAATTTAGTGCCATCCCTTAAACCCTCTGATGGACTCTCCCACTCCCCCCCTCCCAAATACACACACACTGTCACTTTAATCAGTCGAAATAAGCTCTTTTGCACTACAAATCATTGTTTTTTGCACTACAATCACTATATCTGCACTGTTTTACTTTCTACTGGTTTGCACACTATCTGCCATATGCCTTGTGCTTTATATATATAGATATATTTTTACATTTTACCTTATTTGTATAGTTGTATTTTGTATTTTGTATTTAATCTGTACCTATCTGTATTTATGTTATCTGTATGCACCAAGGGACTGAGAGTAACGCAATTTCAATTCTCTGTGTGTATGTGCTGTACATGTGGAAGAATTGACAATAAAGCAGACTTGACTTGACTTGACTAATCCCTTAAAAATACAAAACTTTAAATGAAAAACATTAGCAAACTAAAGTATAGCACATTCATTGACATACAAATGTTTCAGTCGTTTCTGACTGGCATGCGAGCAGCACCAGAGGGTTAAATTAAGATACAAGTACTTGAGAGGCAAAAAAATAAGTCTTGTTTTCGGAAAAATGTGTCAAAATTAAGTGACTGTACGCTGAACAAGAATAATCAAAAAAAATCTGCCAGTGAGGTCAGAAAATCAAATGTATGTTTTCTGACCCCATTGGCAGATATTCTTGATTTAAGCATAAAGTGACATAATTTTGATCAAAAATGACTTAATATCTTAAGTCATTTTGCTTCTCAAGTGAATGTATCTTGATTTAAGAATGTTTAGATATTTTAATTTTAGTTTAATATTTAGATATTAGATATGTCAGTGTGACATGCTATATTTCATCTAAAGCTATTTTAAGCATTTTTCTTATTGTAAATGTGTCCAGAATTTTGATAGGTTGTCACCAAAAGGTGACTAGAAATAATGGAAAAAAGAAACTGTGATCAGTTTCAGCACTTAAAATAGAGTGCTGAATAAAATGTTATTTGTCAACTACCC